CCTGGAACTCCAGCATCACCGGGAACCCCAGCAACGCCTGGAACTCCAGCAACACCAGGAACCCCAGCAACACCGGGAACGGATGGATCACCAGGTCAAGATGGCACACCAGGAACCAATGGATCACCCGGTCAAGATGGTACACCGGGAACTAATGGATCACCAGGTCAAGGTGGCACTCCAGGAACACCAGCAACGCCGGGAACTCCAGCAACACCGGGAACCCCAGCAACACCAGGAACTCCAGCTACACCGGGAACTCCAGCAACGCCGGGAACTCCAGCATCACCGGGATCGGATGGATCACCAGGTCAAGATGGCACACCGGGAACCAATGGATCACCAGGTCAAGATGGTACACCGGGAACTAATGGATCACCAGGTCAAGGTAGCACTCCAGGAACACCAGCAACGCCAGGAACTCCAGCTACACCGGGAACTCCAGCAACGCCGGGAACTCCAGCATCACCGGGAACCCCAGCAACGCCTGGAACCCCAGCAACACCAGGAACCCCAGCAACACCGGGAACCAATGGATCACCAGGTCAAGATGGCACACCGGGAACCAATGGATCACCAGGTCAAGATGGTACACCGGGAACTAATGGATCACCAGGTCAAGGTAGCACTCCAGGAACACCAGCAACGCCGGGAACTCCAGCTACACCGGGAACCCCAGCAACGCCGGGAACCCCAGCAACGCCGGGAACCCCAGCAACGCCGGGAACTCCAGCAACACCAGGAACTCCAGCAACACCAGGAACTTTAGCAACACCAGGAACTCCAGCAACACCGGGAACCCCAGCAACGCCGGGAACTCCAGCAACACCAGGAACTCCAGCAACACCAGGAACTCCAGCTACACCGGGAACCCCAGCAACGCCGGGAACCCCAGCAACGCCGGGAACTCCAGCAACACCAGGAACTCCAGCAACACCGGGTACCCCAGCGACACCAGGAACCAAGGGAAACGGAAACCGACCATGCCATCCAGGAAAAGGCGGAAAAGTTTCAAAGAATCAAGGAACTCGAGGTAATTTCTATCTTTCTATTGTAATTTTTTATACAATCTTTGGGAATTCACGGTGATGCTGTTTTGTAACAAGTTCCATTGTTAACTCTAATATCTTAAATTCATATTTATAAATATTTGCTTACAGATATCCTGAACGCGCTGAAAGCAGACGTTAATCTACACTTCCTGATTCTACCTGACGGACCTGGCAACACTAAAAACTGTTATTGTACGTGTGAGAGTCCAAACCCGCCCAGAGTGATATCTCTTAAACAACTTCCAGCTCAAATATCTGCATAATTTTGATTTACTTTTTAATTTGACTTACATGTATTTTCCTTTGTATTTGATTTGAATTTTTAATAAAGCATTTGAATTTTGAACATACGACTTTTATTTTAATTTGAAAAAATTGTATTAGGTCGACCATACAATTTGCGTGCTTCATTTCTAGAAAAAAACTGCTTAATTCCAAAATATTTCAATCAAACACTATTTCTCACAAATAAATAAAAATTAACGTAAGTTTTCATAAAACTACTGAAAAGTCAAATAACGTAAACGTAGTCGCCATGCATGTTTGACGTTTCTCTGTTTTCATTAATTTTGGCGCTAAATTTTGACGTTGGATTTTTATTCCATACCAACGGATTGATTTCAAGTAAACACGAGTGCTCTTGCCTAGAATAGAGCGTAGAACTTACATTTATGTACTAAATTTAAACAAACATTAGCAGATTATTGAATATAAATTAATTTCTTGTAACCATAGATTTATAACCTAACTTTTTTTAGCGAAGAATTAAAATCAAATTATAAAGTATTACTATCGAGTAATACTTCGACTTATAAATACTTCTAGAGTGTACACTATGTTCTATATCTATGCCAAATTTCAGCCAGATCCAAGCAGCTGTATTAGTAAGATAAGAAAAAGGATAAAGTAAAAGGTATTGTGAGAAATAAAACTAATAACAAATTTTAAAAAATTATTTAAATTTTATTAAAAACTTCACTCACTTTATATTCGTCTTGTAAAATACATTTTATTTCAACATAATTATGATTAAAATACTTCAACGAAGTTTGTACGGCCGGCATTCGTAACTGAAAGAGATATAAAATTTCATATTAATATTATTATAAGCTCATGGTAAAGGAAAACATCGTGATGCACATATCTGAGAAAGTCAAACATGTGGAGTCTTGCACTGGACCAGCATTCACTATCACATATCACTTAGGGTACACTCCGAACATCTCTTTGGTGATGTATAGTGAGATGACGATATAAGCTTTTGCTTGTGACTTCATTCGCATGGAATTAAAAAAAAATCTTGATAAATATAGAATAGTATTAACCAACAATGACAGAATTTTTCAAATCAGTTTTTAAAAAAATGATAAAATCTTTCCTCTTTATAAAATATACTAACATCCATCAAATGTTATTTTACTATAAATAAGTTCTAGAAACTCATAAAATTACTATTAAAAAATAGGAGTTGATGATAAAGGGGTGAAAATTTTGTCTATATGTATTTTTTAATGCCACATAAAAAATTGTCCTAAAATTAAAAAATGTTAGCAGTGGACAACCCTTATCACTTAGGTTTTAATAACAGATAGTAATTGATTCTCAGAGCTACTGAATATGCATATATTTATATAAATCAGTCAAGCCGTTTCAGAGGAGTATGGTAACTAACATTTTGATATGAGAATTTTGTGAATTTTTTTATATCATAAGATGGCAAACGAGCGAGCGGTCACCTGAAATCGCTGAAATAGCAAAGTGAGTGTTGCCCATAGACATACGCAACTGAATATGCGTTGCCTACCTTTAATCGACGGAGGAGAGGATGCACAGAAAGAAAATATTTTCCCTTCCCATGCATCCTTTCATCCGGAAAGTCCACTTCCACTTCCCATCCTATCCTTATAAGGCAGAGGGTGGGAAGGGAAAGAGGACTAAATGAGGCCTCCGGGACGCACACTCATCAGACTGTACTTGGAATTGCTTCCACTTGATGCCTGTCTTCTGTGTGGTCGTGGTATTTCACTGAGCGAGCCGGGACAATTCGTGCGAAGATGTTAAAGCGGGCTCTACCACTGTTAAATATAAAACATATTAAAGTGAACTCACAAGTCTGTCAGTAGTGAAAGGGTTACAAACATGAACTAACCTCATTCCATAGCAGAAACATCCAAATTAATATTAACATAACTGGCCCCCATATTTTCCTTATGACGCAGCGACACAACATGTTTCTTCGCATTTTCACTGTCTTCAACATCTGAATCGCACACTCCACATTTCAATTTTCCAAACTCGTAATAAACATATTTGTTTCTCGCCAACATATTTATATTATGTTTCAATTCTAAATAGAAACGGAACACATTCTCCGATGTTGGTCTCTTTGAGAAATGTTCGGCGTAAACCAAATGCATTAACAACGAACGAATTGAACTGAACACACTTTTGCACGATTCACAATTAAACGTTGCACCTTCACTATGTAATATAAAATTACCATGCATATAAACACTTATTATATCACCTTTATTCGAACGAACTTTAACATCAGCCAACGCACTTTGATGTTCCAAATTAGATAAAATATGTTCCACAGCTTTACTTGCATTTTTTAATACAACATCACAGAATTCACATTTAAATATATCCATGGATATCTTATTCATAATAAATAAGCCTTCATTAACATCATATAATGCGGAACGGATTAATTTAGCAATCGTTTCAATATGCAAATTACTATCGAAATGTTCAACAATCGCTGCAAATGATGGTAAAGCGATGTACTCAGGACAAATCGTACAAATATAATGATTGCCAAAACTAGCAAAATATTCAGTTGGTCGACAATGATTTTTATATAACATCGTTAGTTTATGTGGAGCAGCATTTCTTAAATGTTTTTTCTGACGGATATGGTTGAATAAAACCTGTCTTGGACCCTTTAAGGTCATATCACAACATGAACAGTAATTAGCAATCTTTCCCGATGGTTTGATGAAATTTTCAATAATCACATGATCTCTGTTGTTTAAAGGTTTACCGCTGCTGGTTAAAAATTTCGTCCAATCCAATGATTTAGGTCCCCATTCATCTGGGACTTGTCCATCGGGATTATTGGCTTTCATTTTTCTGTACAGTTTATCGGAAAGCTTTCCCAAATGATTTTCATCTAAGATATGCAAGATAATGCAATCATTATCCAAACTTGTTCTACAAAGAGTGCAATTGGGTCCATTATTATCTTCATTTATGTAATGATTGCGTAAAAACTCTTTATTCATATCTTTGATTTTGTCTATTGTAGCTGTACCCATAGAGAATGGTATATTTTTATCAGCTTGAAGTATACAAGCCAGGTTATGTATATGAGTTTCACTGAATACATGGTTTAGTACACTATCATAACGGAATCTTAGTGTATAGTACTCACAAGCAATACAAAAGAAAGCTAATTTTCCAGTTCTATCGTCAACTAAAGTTAACAATTTATGATTCATTAGTAACTTGGCGATATTATTTTCAATAGGACCGTAATAACGGTATTTTTTGATCTGATTCTTCATTGGTTTCTCTGGTGTATGATCCATTTCTTCATTATCGTAATTCTTGTTTGCGTCAACTGCAAAATTTTGATTAACATTATCACGTATACTCATAATAATTGGTGCTACAGAGCTTGTTTGAGTTGAAAAATCAATAATAGCTATGTTACTACACAATTTCTCGTATGCCTCCTGATAGAACTTCATTGCTGCGTCAATACTGGCTTCAGAATTATCTGGTAACAATTTGATCAATGCCATTTCAAGCATAGCTGAGAATGAACGTTCTAATTTCTCCATTGGCTTTAACATTTGGATTATTTCCTCCATATTTTGATTATCACCACTTTCTAAAGCTGATAGTCTACGTGACATCTTCGGAAGTAATATAGGTTCTGCAACATCGATGCTTTCACGTTTCAACTTAGGCATATGCGCTTCTAGACTGAAATGCTTCTGCAAAGATTCCATTAAAGGCACGTCATCGACTAATTCAATTTCAACATCACAATCTGTACATATATGTACCTGTTTAGCATTATCAATGGTCAAGAATTCAGCTTTTAATAGCTCTGGTACTTCATTAACAGGTAAACTATTGAAACGTTGACGTTGCATACTACTTTTCTTCTCAGTTGTAAATATATATTCAACATGAACACCATCTCGTTTCTTTAAAAAGATATTCTTATGCATTTCATCTAGATTCTTCAGGTATTTAAGCACCACTTGATTTTCTTGAGTGATCGGATGATTTATAACAAATTGGAAATGTCTTGCCAATTTTTTGACATCATCTAACTTTCTAAATGATAGTAGAGTTAACTCGGACATATCCTTAGTTATATCTTCAATTGATTTGTTATCCATGGTCAATAAAATTATATAAAATATAGTCTACACTGTTTTACTTAAGACCTATCTCAGTTTATACCAAGACTATAGTCAAAGCCAAGTTATTATGGCTTAATTTAAGCGGTTGATAGTAGCCCGTATTACGCTGACTTGTGCGTAATGATTTTTGAACCTGAACTATGTTATTTGTTGTGAATTTTGTTCGTAGAATGACTGGTGTGTTTTATTGCCGCATTTCAAGATCTGAAACATGAGAAGGATACATTTAAATAAATGAATAATATATTATTCTAACCTTGCAGACTTTAACACCGTTGAATACTTCAATATATGATTTCAAGTTTCTCACAATGTTCATTTATATTTGTGAAAAAGAAACATTACTAGCTGTCGCCCGCGACTATACAAAAACTTTATTAGTAGCATATGTGTTCTTCCAGACTATGTTCTACATCTATGACAAATTTCAGCAAAATCCATGCAACTGTTCTGATGATACCTTCTAACAAACATCCAACATCCATAAATATATGTTTATTTGTGCCAAAATTTGTGATTTTTTTTTAAGGGCGGCTCTATGCCACCCTCTCGTTCCCCTAACATGTTTGGGTCAGGGACCTGGGGTGCGGGTTTTATTCTTATTTCAATAAAAAAAGTGTAAAAAATCTTTAAAAATACACAATTAAAATGTAAAACTTGTTAATACTAAAAAGGTTAAAAATAAAATATCAATAATAAATGTTAAAAACTGCAATTTAAATTAAAAAGTACATAAAATTGCCAAATTTTATCTTAACCATGTATTACCTCACTGTCATTTTGTAAAAAATTGTGACATCACACTAGTTAGGAGTAGGTTACAAATGTGACCAGCTATGATGAAGACAGGGGGGACGGGTCAAAAAATTAAATTTCTGTAACATAATTCATTTTCATCCACGAATTAGGCTTGTGTAGCAAGAAAAATATCGCAGTCCCTTGGATTCTAGCTTATTCAGGTTTGACTGTTCACATGTCACTAGTTTCCAACTTCATTTATTGTGTATGTTTTTTTTTGGAAAGTTTTAGTTTTTAAATTAAAGTTACAAACATGTTTGCTTTTAAAGTCTTTAATTAAATCCTTATAAAGGTAAAATTGGTTAGACATCTTACTAATATTACAAATGCTAATGTTTAAATGGATGGATGTTTGAAGGTATCTCCAGAACAGCTGAACGGATCGTGACGAAATTCAGAATGTAGATCATAGTCTAGAAGAACATAGGCAACTAATTAAGATTTTTAAATTCTGCACTAACCGATCTCGGGCGACAGTTTGTTTATAATAATTTCTCAACGATTTTGACTTTGTTATGAAAACCTGAGTAGAAACAGGAAACACAATGTTTACTGAGAAACAGGATAATGTACAAAGTCATTTTACATAATTATTTTTAAATAACCATAAAATATTCACATAATAATCAAAACATATAGGATCTCAGGTATTTTACTAATATTATAAATGTGAAAGTTTAGATGTATATTTGTTAGAAGGTATCTTCAGTATGGCTGAACAGATCTCGTTGAAATTTGTCATAGATGTAGAACATATTCTACAAGAACATATGCTTAAGTTTTAATACTGTACGGACATTGTCGCGGACGAAACTAGTATAGAATATGTGTACAATCAAAAATGAGAGAAATTCAAAGATGAAGGTATCTTTAGATGATATCACCCCCATAAAAAAGGTTAAGGAGGTGATAGAATGCGTTAAAGGTGATATAATAAAGCAGGTAGACAGAGATAAAAGAAAGAACAATCTTGAGAATGATAATGAGTTAAGTTCTATAAGATAAAGACAGTGAGATGACATTTTTGATTATAATACTAATGGTCTTATGACTCATTTCAGAAAGTATTAAAAAACTTAATTAGTAGTCTATGTGTTCTTCCAGACTATGTTCTACATCTATGATAAATTTCATCAAGATCCAATGAGATGTTCCGGAGATACCTTCTAACAAACAATCATCCAAACATTCGTAATTATAATATTAGTAATTGTATATACATATTGAGATAGGTTAATTAAAAAGTATAATATAAAATGAAACTTATTTTTTTTTACTTTTATTTTGAATTTTTTTAGTCTACGATGTTTTTTATTACATATAAAGTAACGTAAAGTATCCATAAAAATCTGCATTTCATTATTAGACATCTTGTAAATGTTATTTTATGTCACGAGGTAACTGACCTAAATTGTATTTTAATTACTTCTTTGACGGTTATTAATAACAAAGTTGCATTCAAATGTTAAAAGACAAAGTTCGTTTTGTAATAAAAAAAAATCGTTAAAATTTATAATGTCTTTTATTATATACTTATCATAAAAGACAAATAAATACAGAAATAAATGAGATAATTATTTAAAAGAATAAATTAAGGATAAAATAACACGATAAGAGAAAACAATAAAGCGAAAATACCGTAGTATACTTTGATAAAAAGTTAGGTTAGAATGATGATGCAAATATAAGAAAGTTTCAAAATCTTTAAAATATATCTTATAATTATAAAGTTATATTAGTATATAAGATGGTAATTACCTGGAAATCTTGATTTTGTGCATGGCAGCTAGGTACCGCTTAAATTATGTGTACGGGCATCTGACAGTCTTGTGGTGACATGTTAGGCAATAATGGAGGCCGAAGTAGACAAAGAGCTTTACTACAGATTAAATAACACGTACAATCTGATAAATTCAGTTATTTTTAGGTTTCATTAAATTTAAAAGAATTCAAGTAGTAATTCAAGTGCATTTAAAAACTCCTATTGAAAAATGTTTTCTCATGCACAAAGATTATATGGCTCTTTTTATTTTTTTAAAAACTATTTTCCTAATTTGACGCTTAAAAAATCGACAAATTTCATGGTTTTGCGACCGCTGTATAAGTTATTCGCATTATGTACTCATTTTGTTGCAACTTTTAGTAATGGAGCATGAAAAGATACCCATAATTTATAAATAGGGTCACCTTGAGTTGTTTGCTCAGTTTTATTTACCGATTAAGTGACATCATCATTACGAGTACCAGTACCACGTTTCAATTTCAATAGACACGGCCACACAGAAAACGTCTGTGACGTGGAAGAAATTCTGTGTTTCGTTTAATGAGTGTGTGTCCTAGAGGACAACAAAATTTTAGTCCTCTTCACCTTCTCATTTAGGTACCTATCTATGAAGAATAGGGGAATACTCTTTTTCATCACCTCCTCTGTCTATCTGTCAACTTGTTCAAGATATTTTTGGGTGGTGGTTGCTTCGATTTTAAGCGAAACGAAGTGGCTGTTAGCTCGTGTGCCACTGTTTACAAAATATCTAATATAAGAATCAAAAGTGCTCGCAAGAACTTGGAGAAAGGTTCGGCCAGTAAATGTTTCTAGATATACCTACTAAATATCTTTTTTCAAATCCATGCAGCCATTTTGGAGTTACCTTATAACAAATATCCATTCATCCATCCACACCTCCACCAATTATAACATTAAAATGACATTAGTGAGAGTAAAGTAATATAAAAATATCGACGATTTTTATTGGTTGTTTAAAAGCATCACTATTTGATGATATACATTACATACGAATACATTATTCCCGGTTTCTTGATGTATATTTGAATAAATCAATGACTCGCTTCAAGGGTATATCTTTGTAAAGAGCATCGTATGACTGTGACTTGCTTTGGTTGTTTTTGAGAAATCACGGCGCCTAATGCCCGCGATAGTTGAAAATTACTGTAATATATATTTGCTAATAAAAATAGTAAATTATATGCACTGTTATGTTGTTTGTAGATTACTCATCTTTATATAATTACCTAGCAAATAACATGATAAACAAATATTTGCATTATTTATTCAGGTGGTTACTTACTTGAGCTGGTTGTTTGTTACTTTCTATTAAAAAAAAACAACGTGCGACGTGCATGAAACATCTTCTTTTTTGTCGTTATTCTCAATGCGTGTAAAAAAGTGCTCGCGCAAAAGAATTACGCTGTAAAAACAATTGGTTTAATGTTTATGTTTATATCAAAGTTTATTTTTGATAACGAAAATAAACCAATTTTATATTCTGTTTCTGTCTGCCTTAAAAATTTCGTTACCAAGCCATAAAAATATTCAAAATAAAACTCAAAGCTGTCAATTAAATGTTATGTCAACAACTATCAACTGTCAAGCAATTGTGAAAACATTTGCGAGTTGTTTGAAAAGACTAAAATTTTTAATAAATATAATGTGCAATTGATTTTTTAATCATGGCGACAGCTAGTGAAGAAGAGGACTTCAGCGGGAATGATTTGGAATCGTTTACATTGCCGGAAACTGTGTTATGCGTTGACACAATTTGTGGTGTTTGTTCTGCCGAATTCCTGGATGAAGATGATTTGAAACTGCATATGGTGCAGCAACATCCAACTGAGCAGACTATATCTAGATGTTGTCGATTTTGCTCCTACATATATGCTAGTTTAGAGGAATATGCATCACATATTATCAATGTCCATATTCTCGATTTAAAATGCTGTAAATACTGTTTACGTGTATTTACTATCACCCAAGACGTAAGAGGTCACGAAAAGAAGCATTTGTCATCTAGTTCGCCGATTGAATTGAGATGTTCCAACTGTAGAATGACTTTTAAAAATATATCTAGTTTGGAATCCCATGAGTATTTAATGCACTTTGATATTAAAGACGGAGTGATATTAAGAGATTGTTATTCTCTTCTATCTTCATTCTTGAACATAAACGCTATTAAATTTCTCAAATCATCAGGAGATTATCAAGAATACAGATGTGTGAGTTGTGATTTTGTAACATCAGATTTTGATTATTATATACAGCATTTAGAGCAGAAAAACTGCAGATGTATAGTCTGTGATAAATGTTGCCATGTTTTTAAGGATATTAAAAAGTTAGAGAAACATTTAAAAGCCAATACTTGTGATAACAAAGATTATAATTTACCATGTAAAAAATGTCTGAAAATGTACACATACGAAGAATTGCAAGAGCATACAAAAGTTTGTACAGCCGTGAAATGTCATTCATGTGACCTTATATTTGATACGGTGAAGGAACGAAATGATCATCAAAGTGATGTTCATCCAATGATGTTTTCGATTAAAGAATGTAAATTTTGTCGTCATGAATACGTAGGTCAGGAAGCTTTAGAGAAACATATAAAGAGGACACACGATAAAAGATTACATCTATATAGATACTTTTGTATATATTGTGACGATACATTATTCGATCATCCGAAGAAGTTGTTCAACCATTTTTTTAGAAAGCACAGAAATTTGGAACCATTTATGTGTAAAATATGCGATAAAACATTTAGATTAAGAAAGAGTTTTACGTTGCACATAAAATTGAATCATTTAAGTGTGGGTAATGTTAGATTTGATGATAAATATCACGTTATATTTGAGCAGAATAATTTTTCCAATCAAAACATTAGTAAAACTAACCAAAAAACAAGCGAACAACAAGAAAAAACAAATGATGTAAAAGTAAAAGATAAAATACGAGACAAAGATGATGTAGAGTTCGTTTTGTGTCACACAGATAATCAAAATGATCAGTTTGATAAAGAAAAAAGAAGGTTTAAAGATAGAACACTGCAAGGAGACAGTGAGGTAGATCTAGTTTTATGTCCCACAGATAAAGAAACAGATCAACCAGAAGTTAAAAGAGAAAAGAGATTAATTAAAAGAAAACGTAAAATGAAACGTAAAGATATTACAGAATGCATTGATTTAACGTTAGACGGCTCGGAAGATTCAGACGATGAACCTCTTATCGTAAAAAGAAGACGTACGAAAATGCGAATTGAAAACATCAAATTTCCCAAATGGCTGGAAAGATCCAAACTTTTAAAGAGGAATCGCGAGAAATTCACATGCAAAATATGTAAGAAATATTGTTATACATATCAAAATTTCCAACATCATATGACACTACATAAAAATAAACTGAATAAGAAATGTATTATATGTAGGAAAGTTTTTAAAACTACGGAAAAATTGAAACAGCACATAAAAAAGAGACATTCGTCATCAAAACTAACGGAAACATTGAAGTATGTTGTAGAAAGACGAAAGCAAACTAATTATCCAACAGAAATTAAACCTGTTAAAGTTGAAAAGAAAATTATTAGCGAATTATTCGCTAAAACTATAAAAAAAGTGAATATAAATGCATGCGATAGTTCAGTTAAAATAAAACCAGTCATTGATAAATTATCAGTTAGGAAATTTATTGAAAATTTCACACCAGAATCCAATGGTATCAACTGTAAAGGTAATACAATATACATAAATAACAGTCTAACTATTAAACCTATAATAGCACCCGAAAAGCCACAATTTATCAAATTAATCAAATCAAAACACGACGAATCTGTATTCACGAAATTAAAACAACCGGAAAGATTTAAAACTAAAAGTAACATGAAATATGAAGTATCGATAAAAATTGCAGACCCAAATGCTAAACCTAAATTGAATTTCGATGGAACAGTAAAACCTATTACTGAAAATATATTTGAATGTATGGATGATTCAATGGATCGAGATATACCTGAAGTAGCCGAAGAAGTTATGTTAGACGATACAAATGAATCAAAAGATAATGAATCTATAGATGTGCCACAAACACAAAATTTACCAAATAATTTTAAATACAAAGATTTCCATTTGGCACATCTAACTCCACAAGCACCGTATTACAAGATAGTTAAATTAAAAGACGTTACAGATAAATCAAATGTACAACAAGAAAAAGAAATTAAATTACCTAATGGTACTAAACTTGTGAGTGTCAATCCATTGGCGCATCTCCTTGATGGCAAACATATCGATTTACAAACGAATAAATATTACAAACCTAAATTAGTCGATGTGGAAAAAGCTGTTGCAGACGCTTTGTTGAAAACAGAAAAAAGAGCCCCGAGATCGAAAAAGTCGAAGAAAACTAAAGTGGTTAATGAACAGTAAGAGTATTTATAACTTATTTTAAGGCTGATAAGATTTTTTACAATGATTTGTATGTTAGAATGAAGAAAATTGTGTTCAGTTCAATAGGCCGACAACGCATTTGGCTTCCCTCTAGCGTTACGTGGTCTTCCATGGGGGTCGGATCAAATAATTTTATGCGATCCGTTGCACGTTTGCCTCCTTTTCCTATATAAAATGACGTAATCTAAGGGCCAAATTTATAAAAAAAAAACTTAATATGTCAATTAGAATGTACCTTTAAACATAAGTTAAGTATTTTATCGCGTGCGGTATGAGAATTATATCTGATTTTATATGCTTGTACCAGTAGCAGTTTTGATGATCCATATTTAAGGGTAAAATATACTTTTAAATTACTCTGACGTCCATAATATTAGTTATAACACTTGATTAACCAAACAGTGCATTATATTTTTGGGGTACAATAATTATTTTCTGTACCCCAAATATTCCTTTTCTCAGACTCATAGGGGTGCCATTTTTACGTGTATAATGTATTAACAATGAATATTAAATGTATTAAGGCTCTTAATAAAGTAAGACAGTAAATGCATGGATTTTATAATAACAATGGGGCCTTAATTTTTATTTTTATATTGTTTAATATACTATAAGTATCATAGGTAAATCAAATGTAAGCTCTTAATACTTTGGCTCATAAAACTTTAAAAATGTGTAACGCAAAAGTACAGTATATGTGTACGATTTGTGATTTATAGTATGTCTATTTAAGATAGATTAGTTTGACAACTGACGTGTATAAAAGATAGAATTAATTTTGTATGAAGATTAATGTCGTACTAAATGGACGGTTGTCATAATGTCGAAAGGTCGCGCACGAGTAACTGTAAACTATCGGGAATTGGTCTTAAAATAATCGATTTTATGGGTACTATAACTTAGGTATTTTATAACTGTTTGAATTTATTACAATTATTTGGCTATGTATCGCACAATTTATAATTTTAGTTCGTCAACACGACAATGAAGGATAAAGTAGGAATAGAAAGAAACGATTTTATATTGTAGTTCGAAAACAATAATCATGAATTTTTGATTGCAATTTCTATGAGAATAACCATCGATAATTGAAAAAAATCTTAATCGATTTTACTCAACCCATATCTAGTGAATTGTCAAACTAATCTTAAATAGACACACTATGAGTCCATTTTGCCCAAGTGCCTACTAACATACCGGGTTTTGTAATTTTCTTAATGTTTCTTCAGTCTTCTAAAGCATCGTATATTTTATCTTTGTAACCGTCATATTCTGAAGAAGATTCTAGAAAGTAAACTCTATCGTTCTCTTTTCTAAGAACCTTTTTGTTTCTTTTATTTTTTTTGTTGTGTTTGCTTCTCTGTGTCGCTATAGCTGCGGAATCGTCTTTATATTTGATTTCATCTGATAATTTAATATCTTCCATATCTTTGGACTCTGTAATTATTTTAGTATCGTTAACGCTTAATTCGTCTGATTCGTTATTTAGAATTTGTTCTGATTCTAATACAGGCTCTTCTTTAGCATTTTCTGTATTCTCCCCGATTTTTTTAATTGTTTTCTTCTGTATTTTATTTTCTTTTTCTTCATAACTTACGCTGTCGCTTATTGATATTTCTTCTTTGGATGATTTACTTTTTTCAATTAACTTTTGTTTATGGTCACCTTTTCTTTTTTTCTTCTTATTCAAATTGATTTCACTTGATATGTTTGCGATTGAATTTTCTATGCTTATCGAATCTTCAGATACATTAGCATTTTTATTGGATTTATTTTTAACGAATTTAACATATTTCAAACTTAAATTATCGAATGAATCGCGATTAATTATCGATTTCACAAAATCATCGTCGAACATCGATTTTGGAAATATATCGTGTGTTGTAAAATTCTTTTCGGCAGAGTTTCGATAATTTACTTCGTTTTTACCTTTATTATTGATAGATTTGTTTCGATTTTGCATATCTTTAATTTTTTCTACAGCCTTCTCGGCAATTTTGCTTGCCAGTTCATCGAATTTATCAGATTTCATTAATTTATCGATTAAATCATCAATATTCGGATTACGATCGATTTGTAACGTCGAAATTAGAATATTGGAAGGAAAGTAAACGCTTAAGGTACCTAGAGAAAGCAAAATTGGTTAATAATATTGTAATTACGAAAAATAAAATGTAATTAATTATTCATGCATTTTTATTTAAGCTTCCTTTCATAAATAGGGTTGCCAATTATAAATGAACAAAAATATTATATTACTCCTATTTTCTTTGTAAAAACATAGATAAGATGTTAACAGGAAGACACATGTAAGGAAAAGGGCAAATTTTTTATGGATAATGACCAGTTTTACGATCGTAAAACTAGACTAATTTGATACCCTTGTTATAATATTTTCCTAAAGAACCATTTGAGGTATTTAATTACAAATGTATTTATCATAAACTTACATATAATATATGACAACAAATATTTCATCTCGAATATTTTAATAGATTTTATATTATACCTAACATTCTAACCGATTCACGGTCAAACCTTGTTTCGGATTAAAACCCATAAATTATCGATAAGTTTTTATTTTATTGTATGTTTATTGCTTATAAGTTGGAAACTCGTAAATCGATTGAGTTAAAATTGCACAGTTATCGGGATCAGTGAAGAAAAATGTTAATTCTGTTTAAAATCATTCTTTTTTTTACGTTAATATTCACATTGGAATTGTTTTAAAAAATCTTTGCTATAAAATGATTATTAAAAAGATTGAAGGTATTTTTAAAAACCGTATCTGTCAAAATGTTGACAGATTTGAAATACCCGCGAGTGAACGAAACGAAAGTATAATTGATATTTTAAAATGTCGATACCAGTAATCGCTGCCCTTAGACAACCAAAGCAAGTAAATAAACCTAAGAAATCGAAGAAATTTGACGATGATTACGTGATAATAACAATGAAGGATAATAAAAAATTGGTAGTCAATTCCGATGGCTACCATGGAATTGTAAGAATGGAAGAAAAATTTGTCTGCGTTCTTTGTAATTACGAAATAAATTTGGATGAGAAACTAAAAGCAGATCATAAAGTTAAGAAAACTCATTTGAAAACGCTGACATTGTTTCCACACGTAGAAAGTTTTCGTGACAATTTGATACGTCAGGTAAATCGACCAACCCCACCCCGCCCTATCCTAACGCCGGCCATTTATGCAACTAGAGTTATATTATAACATCTAGTAATACTAATACCGGCTGTCGCCCGAGACTCCGTCGGCGCGGAATTAAAAAAAACGTAATTAGTAGCATATGTGTTCTTCCAGGCTATATTCTACATCTATACAAAATTTCATCAAGATCCATTCAGCCATTCTGGAGATTCCAAACAAACATCAAACAGCCGATGTTAATAGCTATCTCCAGAACTTAATGGATCCCAATCAAATTTGTCATAGACTTAGTACATAGTCTGGAAGAACATATAGACTACTAATTGAGTTTTTTGTTGTACCACTGGTAATATAAATTTTCTATTACAGTTAAACAAGAATGGATGCTATTGTACTATCTGTAATGTCATGGTGTCGACACATTATTTGATGTGTCATGTAGATGGAGAACTTCACAAGCAGGAACTAGAGAAGGCAGTTATAAGAGCAAATACATATAAACCTAAATGAATACATTAATAATATATTACTATCTTTAATTAAATTTTTAATACCTTTTGAAGAAAATATGTTATTGGAGATTCCTTCTCACTAAAATTCAGTGCCGAACCTAAAGTGCGACCATCTCGGGATCTCACGGAACTGAGCTGAACTTCTGCAGGATTCCAGGAAAATACTAAGTCATGTCTTTACAAAGATACAGCAACATGGGACTACATTTTCTACGATAATTTTGAATGCCTGGATGTCTTCAAGAGTGAATAGGCACTTACTATAGTGTGTACCATATTTCAATTGAACCATTTAACCTTAGTTGAAAGGTCAATTGCAAGCTAAATTATAAGAAAATGTATAGAAAAGATTTTAGAAAAGTATAACAGCCCAAATCAATAATATAATTTAATTACTTTGAATTTTATAATAAGTGTCTAAGATATGGTATTTTGTATTATTTTTATAACATTCTACATCTATGGAAATTACAATGAGATCCATACAACTGTTGTAGATATACCTTCAAATAAACATCCATCCATCCATCTAGAGTCTAAATATTTGCTTTTATACTATTAGTAATATTGTAAAGAAGGTAAGATTTTATTTTTGCAATGAATTGGCTTTGTAACTACTAAACTGATTTGAAATTTCATTCACATTAGGAAGCTACACTATCCATGGATAACTTGAACAATATTTATTAATAATTTTTTTTAATCCAAAACAAAGTTGAGGACAATTGTTAGTTCTCTGTAACTGATGCAATGTTTTATTGATATTACGATATTAGAAGCCATGATTAAATTAATCAATTAGGGTATCTAAAATCCGAAGGAACTTAGTTTGCGATAAAATAAAAGATGATCTTGTATAAACTATTTTAATGAATAACAAGCATATTACTACCGTCTTCGCTTCTTCGTGCGCCTTTTTGAGTTTTTCTTACCGACTTTATTTAGTTTAGCGATCTTTCTCTTGTGCAACCAAACTGGATACTGGCCATTTTGATCTTTTAATGTTTTCGAACTGTAGATCTTTTTCTCGCCATTTTCACCAGAAACTTCAACTTTCTCGTCGTCTGAGCTCATTTCAGCATCTTCTTCGACGTCAGGTGGTGGATTTTCTTTCTTTTTTCTTTTCCCAATCTCACCAGCGTCCAAATATATCACTTGTTCACTTTCCATAACCTCTTCGGTAGTTTTTTCTTCCTCTTTTATACCCAACGTCTTTTTTAATCTTGCTAATTCTTTGACGGCATATCTCTCCCGTTTTATGGCCCTGCATTTTCGCTTCCATTTGCTACGAATTGATTTTGCCATTTCGTAATGTTTTTATTTTTCGCACAATGCTTGTTTTTACGACGAAATGTCAAAAGGAAAGGAGTGTGGTATTTTCGAAAAAGACAAAGGTCTGTCGGACATACAGCCATGACGTGATGGCTTGAAATATTTCAGCTCTATATTACCAGAGTATTTTAATAAATAGGTAATATTTTAAAAAGTTAGCTTCAAAAATTTAGAAATGTTTTTAACATTACAATTTGACAAGGAATTTTATTAATCTTTAAAATAATGGTCTTAATTATAGCTTTTTAAATTTTTTGTTATAGCTTTTTAAATTTAAATGTTATTTATTTTATCCTGTAGATATATATATTACCGCTAAAACTCAGAAAATATAATTGATAAAATGTTGCTTTTATTTAGTATTTAATATTATTTTACATTATTTCGTGAAGCAAAATAAACAAATAATGAAAAATGAGACTGACATTTATGACAGCGCAAGGAGCTTTTTTGAAGTGCAATCTTTTCGCTCCCTCTCACTTGGATGTTTCATATAACTTTGTCTCACTCTATAAATCATTTGCTTATGCATCCTTGATGGTATCGAACGACAAAATGTACCTTCTTATTGATGTCTAGTTTATTCCTGTCGGTCAGTTTTTAATTGTCCTAATATTTTATTGTGTAAATATCAATTGGTTTAGTTGGAAATGTTCCAAATAATATAAATTTGTTTATTATACTATCGTTCTGTTGTATTAGTCAGCGTTTTGCGCTCTCCATCGGCATTACTTTTGTTTGTGTTATCGAGTGAATAAATTGGTTTATAAAGTGTAAGAGTAATTTTACAATGGAGACATTGCAAATGGGCGAAGAATTGTCAGGAGATGTGGATGATAACAACATAAAAGACGGTAAGATTAACATAGCGTGGCGTAATTCTTTTGTGTCTTATAAAGATGAAAGCGAAGTGTCAACACTGAAAACTTTATATTTACGTAGCCATGGGTAACGCACCTAAAATTGAAGACATCCAGATCAGCTCATAGCTCACATGTGAGATACAGATCAGTGAATCGACTTACAGATCAGTTCAATTTGTATCCGCGTAGTATATCCGTTTCGAGCTGCAAACTGTGAGTCAACTGAAGCCCAGGACTCGTTGATTTACATAGTTATAGTACTTGATGAGCTGTGAGCTGACAATATAGTTGAACGGTTCAAAGGTTCATGTTGAAGCTGCACTTTTGAACCGGTACAGAGCTGATTTACACATTGCTGTATTTACGGGCTTTTAAAATAAAACAATATACTAAAACTGATACTAAATTTACTTTAACAATAGCTGTAACATGACTCCTGCTGTGCGAAATAAAAAAAAAACAATTAGTACCCTACATGTTCTTCCATACCTACTGATATATGTTTGCGAAATTTCATAGAGTCCTGTACAGTCGTTCTGGAGATACCTTCAAACAAACATCCGTCTATCTATTTACAATATTAGTAAGATTGTAATGTAACAATGTTGGTTACCATACTCCTCTGAAATAGCTTAATCTGTTTTTATGAAATTTTATATGCATACTAGCTGTCGCCCGCGACTCCGTCCGCCTGGATATATAAAAAACCTTAATTAGTGTAGCCCACCCACCCATCCACATTACATCCATCAAAACATTCACATTTATAATATTAGTAAGTTAAATAAAAAGCAACTCTTCAAGGCATAAATTAGAAAAAAAATGAATAAATAGTATCCTATGTCCATCTCCTGGCTCTAAGCTACCTCCTCACCAATTTTCAGTCATATCGGTAAAGCCGTTCTTGAGTTATAAATAGTGTAACTAACACAACTTTCTTTTATATATATAGATTCTGTAGTTCTGAGAAATGGCTACAATTTATTTTTTTACCCTGTGCAGACCGAGTTGCCAGCAACAGCTAGTTATATATAAAAGTGTAAGATAAGTTGGTAACATCCTGTACTTTTATTCCAGAAAATAAAGATTCACAGTTATATAATGGTTATGAGAATGGAAATTTTACAATACAATTATTGGATTTTTCTGATGATGTTCTACTTATAATATTGAGGAATTTATCTCCTAGAGATCTGAAGGCACTTGGCTTGTAAGTAACTTGATACATAAGCTAATCTTAAGTTCATACATGTGCTTGAATGTACTTTAAATCAGGGATAATTAGTCTGCTGTAAACAATGATAGAGCCCACTTTAACTTAACGATTTGCGCGGCTCATTTGGTGCAATACCACAACCGCACAGAAGACAGGCGTCTAGTGGAAGAAATTCCCGCATTGGGCCAGCGTGGTTGATTATGACCTAGTCACTTAGGGTAAGCTCCAAGATACTCAGTGTGGATGTATAGTGCGCTGATGATGATATTTTTCCTGCTTCTGCGCCTTGTTAATTTTTTAATTTGTAACATTACACTAGCTAATGTGGGGGTAACAAACATTACCAGCTGTAACGAGGACAGGGGAGGGGACAAGAGATAATGAAATTTGTTACACATAATTTATGCAAGATAGAAAGATAGATTATTTTTGCTCCTTTTTTACAGTACATGTATGAGATTTGCCAGTTTAGTACTGGAGAGATCATTATGGCGTAAAGTGGACGCTAGAGGTCAGCCGTGTGGTACTGCGAGGTTTAAGTGGCTATTGAATGCGATACATGATGATACAACTAGTCTTATGCTGACGGGATATGCTGGACAGAATGATGGGTGAGTTCATTCGTTTTAATAATCGTAGAGGCCAGCAAAATATTTCTTGCAGTCTGCTTCGTCCGTTGCCATATCACGACCTCACAGAACACACGCCTCAAGTCACGACTCTTTACAGCTGCAGTCTGTGCCTTGTCAAGTCAAGTCAGTCTGTGCCTCAAGTTACTACTCACACACTTTGAGTTTTTCCAGACTATGTTCTACATCTATGACAAATTTAGTCAGTCCGTTCAGTGATTCTGGACATATCTTCAAACATCCATCCTTCCATGTTCATTTATTAACCTTTTAATATATTAAATTTTATGTATAAAATAAGAAAAATATATTATATTAAAAATAGAGCACCATCGGCTGCGGAGTCCCATGACTCAAACAACCAGTGGTCAGGACTGCAGAGACAGGAACCTTCTCACGATGCGTGCGGTTTCTAGGTTAACTGTCGTTTGTATCGGGCCCTTAGTATTAGTAAGATTATTATGATTGTTTTTGCTATATTCTAGTTGCTGGGGTCATTATGTCCCTAAACCGGGGGAAGAGGAACCCAAAGATGGGACTGTAGTTGAACCAGCTGTTCCCAGAATACATGAAATGCAATTTTGTAAGTAAATATGTTCAAATACTAGATTTCCTCTGCCATAAAAAACTCTCAATGACTATGTGTTCTTCCAGACTATGTTCTACATTTATGACAAATTTCAGTGAGATCCATACAGCTGTTCCGGAGATATCTTCAAAGAAACATCTATCTAAATATTCACCTTTATAATGATAGTAAGATTTCATCCATATCTTTGGATATGTTTGGATGGATGATTGTTTGAAGATATCTCCGGAACAGCTGAATGGATCTCACTGAAATTTGTCATAAATGTAGAACATAGTCTGGAAGAACACATAGACAAATAATTAAGTTACCGTCCGGACTGAGTAGTAAATTTGTATTTATGTGTTTGAAAATGTTAATTATTTTTAGGTGCAAGAAATCGTTATAGAAGACAACACGCTTTGTTTCATATTCAAGCGAGACAATTACCAAGGTAAGAATTAAAATATTATCATCAGCTCACTATACATCTCCACTGAGGGTCTCGGAGTCTACCCTAAGTGAGATTATATGATAGTGAATGCTGGTCCAGTGCAAGACTTCACACATATCTTTGACTTTCTCAGATATGAGCAGCATCACGATGTTTTCCTTCACCGTAACAACATATGATAAATGTACATATGTAAAAACACATTGGTAAGAACCGAGGACCTACAGCTTACAAGTCAACTGCTTAACAACTCTTTTCTTTGTTGTATAATTAATACCTTTGTACTTTCCAGGGTGGTGAGTACACCATCCTGGCCTGATGAGCCCAGGAATGAAGCATGGGAGTTAGTCGCTGAAGACTTTATCCCTGCTGAGAAGGATCAGAAACCCGGCAAATGTACAGGACCTAGGTTCACATTTACTGGATCTATGTACTTCAAATTGATAGATAAATGTCCCAAACTGACAACACTTGTGCTGGAATACTGTAATATTAATTGTAGAACTGTAAGTATTAATATAAAGCGAGAAACTTCTATAAGCGAGAAACTCGATTTGGAGAGAAAACTCTATAAGAGAGAAACCTCTATAAGTGAGAAACTCGAGTTAGAGAGAAAACTCTATAAGAGAGAAACCTCTATAAGCGAGAAACTCGAGTTAGAGAGAAACCTCTATAAGCGAGAAACTCGAGTTAGAGAGAAGTCTCTATAAGCGACAGTCATTGTCAGATCCCAACGGACAACCTTCATAAGCGAGAAACTCAAGATAGAGAAGAGAAGAAGTTAAGCGAGAGTCCAAGAGACAGCGACATTTACCTCGCTTGCAGAGGTTTCCCTCTAAATCGAGTTTCTCGCTTATAGAGGTTTCTCTCTAAACTAAATTTCTCGCTTATAGAGATTTCTCTGTAACCAAAGTTTCTCGCTTATATAGTTCTCTCTCTAGCCAGAGTTTCTTGCTTGTAGAGCTTTCTCTCCAGAGAGCTTCTCTCGAGTTTCTCGCTTATATAAGAAGAATATAATATCTCGCGAAGATAGAAATCCAGGTCAAGACACTTTGATTTCTATCATTCAGAGGTTGTCTGTCGGGACCGGACAATGACTCGCTTATAAAGGTTTCTCGCTTATAGAAGTTTCTCGATTCTAAAGGTTTCTCGCTTATAGATATATTGACTGTGTTCCTCGATGTCGTTGTAACCGATTTTAACTTAATTTCCAGATTCAATTAAGTCATTTGCCTGCAACTTTGAAGACGTTGTCGTTGAAAGGAGCGAAATGTTTTAATTTATTGATGGATAGGTCATTTCTTTTTAAGATACAAGATGCTTTGCCTGATTTAGAGGTGAGTTTGTGGTGGATTCAAGGTCAAAGACAAATATATAGATATGTTAACTAACTGTAGCACGCGACTTTATCTGGCCTGTAAAAAAATAAATAATTAGTAGCCTATGTGTAATTGAAAAAAATTGGTAAAAATCTGATTTTTTTTATTTTTTTTCGTGAATAAGCTTAGTCATTGATTCTTCGCAATATTTTGCAAAATGGAAAAATATTGAACATTTAAAAAAAAAAATTGTCGCATTTTTTTTTTAATTTCTACAAAAACTCTGTCAATTTTTTTACAAAGTACATTTTACAGTAAGATTTTTTAAAAAAGTTTTTTTTATTAGACTTCAAAAAGGATAAGTTTCGAATTCGTCGTTTTTTTTTTTTGAAGTTTTTTTTTTTTTTCTTGATTGAATCACTGAAATCGTCTCTGCTGCAATATACCAATGTATTCCAGACGTTAGATTTTAGCGAATGTGATTGGCTCGACCCCTCATCCTTTTTACCACTGAGCAAGCTTCGTGCGCTCACCCGGCTGCGTCTGCGCGACTGTCCGCGGCTCTCAGAGTTTGTGGCGTACAGCTCTTTGGCATCTAGATATGGATTCAGAGTTTTACAGGTATGTCTAATACTAGCTGTAGCCCGTGACTCTGTCCGCTCGGAGTTAAAAAACTTAGTAGAGCATGTGTTCTTCCAGACTATGTTCTATATGTGTGACAAATTTCATTAAGATCTGTCGAGTTGTTCTGGAGATATCTTCGTATTTATAATATTAGCAAGATAGACTTCAACATTTTTTAATTTGTTATATTGCCTACCGATTTAACTTAAAATAAAAGTTTTTTTTATATAATATTTAAAGGTGACAAATGAACGAACTTGAAATCGCTGAAATGGCGAAGTGACTGTTGCCCATAGACATACGCAAATGCATATGTGTTGCCTACCTTTAATCGACGGAGGAGAGGATGCGCAGGAAGAGGAAATTTCCGATTTCTATGCGTCACCTCCTCTGGCAAGTTTTTAGTAAGAGAGAAGGAAGGGAATCTAAAATTAAGTCTCTAGCAATGTTTACTAGTCCAAAATCCAATCTTGGTGTCTCCAAACCAGGAATTGGATCTCCGCGGTTGTCCCGTTGGTGACTCTGAGGTGTCATCACTGTCATGGCTGCCGGAGTTACGTGTGCTGCAGCTGGCCTCACACCGGCCAGCCAGCGCGCCCGGACATCGCCATCACCGGCTGGCTAAAGCACCCAGCGCGGTTTCCTTACAGCAATGGGAGATTGAGGTATACTGGAATAATGGAATGGTCAATTTTATCCGACTTCAAAATGGAGAAGGACCTAGATACCTTAACTAGGTTTAAGACATCTGATATAGATTGGTGTCCAGCGAGATTATAGTGTGTCTATTTAAGATAGATTAGTTTGACTACTGATGTCTATAAAGTATCGAGTTAATTTTGTATGATGATTAATGTTGTACTTAATGGACGGTTGTCATAGTGTCGGACCACGCAACGAATAACTGTGAACTATCCAGAATCGGTCTTGTAATAATATTAATCCAACAAGTAAATATTATATTATTATATAACTTATGTATTTTATTAATTTTTGAATTTATTATAATTATTTGGCTATCTATCGCAAAATTAATAAAAAAAAACATTAAAAACAGTTATTTCTGTTTAATATTAATTTATTTTTTTTACGTAATTTTGAAGAGTAAAATTGGCATAAATAAACAATTTCATCTATATTGTTAATCAAATATTTTTTGATAAAAATCTAAATTTTCGATTGCAAGTTCTATGAAAACAACCATCGACAATCGAAAATTTTCATAATCGATTTTAATCAAGCTATCTCTAATGATTTGTCAAACTAATCTATCTTAAATAGACACACTCCTCCGACAACGACTCCGAAATAACTATAATTGTACGATATATTACAAGAATGAAAAGAATTTTCTTACTTTCGAAAGTGTTCTTGATATTTTGTTACTTTTTAGTACATTTTGTTTGGGATTTTTTTTTAGTTCTTCAACATCGATAAAAATGTCTTAGTGTTGGGGGTGGATAAAGACCAGGGGGTCTTAGTATTACGCGTAAGACGTAGATAAAGATTGGGGGTCTTAGTATTACGCGTTTAAGAGGTAGATAAAGATTGGGGGTCTT